CAGGCGAGATAGCACGTCAGCTATGTTTTCATCTCCTGGTACGCGTTTGATGATGAAATCGTATGGCTGCAAACGCAGCGCCCAGCCTTCGGCGCGAGAAACTGCTCTTCTCCCCAACCGATGATTTGTGTTGAATATAAACTGGTTCGCCTCAGCATCCGTCCAGATTACGAAAGTCTTCCCTAGCAGGTAGTAATTGAATCTTTCAACACCCCAGACAACAGCTAACGCCTCTTTTTGAGTCTGAGGATATCGCTGCTCGGTCTCAGAGAGTACTTTCGATGCGCATGCTATAATCCTTGGATTGTTAGCCTCATCATACTGAATAAGTACTGCTCCTAATCCGGATGGTGATGCGTCCACAAACAGTTCAATACGATGATTCGGATTGTAGTATCCCAAGGTTTTTATGGATTTTAGCGCTTTTTTCTTCAGGTACTCAAACTCCACTTCCTCATTGTAAGTCCAGTAAAAAACGGCAGAACTGGCCAAAGCTCGCAGACATTCGGTTTTTGTTGCCCGGTGAATGATAAACTCCACCACAGCGCCAACAATTTCTTCCCGATGAAGCGTTTCGAAAACCTCCGCCTCTATTCAGCCGGGATTGAAATCGTCCTCTGTTCATCTCGGGTTGAAAATGTCCACCTCTGTGCATCCTTCCTGCTCGGGTAGCGTTACCACGATAACTTCCTCGTTGATAAACGCCGCCACGAAAACCGAAGTCAGTTGGATATCTTTGCTGACGAGCGGCATCCCAGTTGGAGAAAGATCTAACTGGTGCGACCAGTGCCGGTCCTTAATTTCCGTATCTTCGCGTGACATATTCTTCGTTCAGCCGGATAGTCTCGATTTCCCGCACCTTATCCACCAAGTCAATAAAAGTACCCTTCCGGCTAAGCATTTTGAGAGCTGTGGTGCGTACATCCCGATTCCTTGCATGTTCAGCTACCGTGGCAACGATTTGCTCAAACTCCTTACCCTCATCGAATTCACAAAGACGGGCAGTTGAACCAACACGTGTAAGGAAACTGAGATCCGCTTCATCGGGTTTCTGAGACATCATTACCAGCTTTCGTCGCATCAGCATCACGATGTAGGAACTAATACTCACCTACCGACGACGCCATGTCGTATTTCACCTTCAAATCAGCAGCAGTTGTGCACACGACTGTCTTCCACAACAATAGTTTACAGACTGAATTTTTTTCTCTCCTCATCTCTCTTCACTCTTCCGGTCTGATTTAGCGTTTTTCATTTGCGTTTTTCCGTCATCGTCAGAACGATTGATCGCAACGCCATTTCCTTATGCGTTTTGTGAAGTGTGTCCTGAATAGCCTCTACACTGTAATAAATTACTTAAATGTTCCTTCTCGACCAATTATTATTTTTTTATGTCTTACTGTTAAACTGACATTTATTTCATTCACAAACACTCTTATTATTAATTTAATTATAACCATGGTGTATGCAAATTGTTTACTACATTTCTCATTACCTTCACTTGTTCAAGTATTAGTTCCTACAGATTGATCAATCCTTAACATTTAATGATCACGTCAACAGAGTTGTTAAGGAAGCGCTGCAACTCTTTGCTCTCACTCGACGTTTCGGCCGAGAGTTCACTGATCCTCATGCAATCCTAACTATCTACATTAGCCTCGTTAGGTCCAAACTCGACTTTGCGAGCGTGGTATGGCGACCACAGTATGCGGTGCAAATTCAATGGCTAGAGGGAATTCAGAAAAAGTTCCTAAAATGTGCCTTCAGAAACCTTGGATGGAGTGGAGAACATACCAAGACCACTGCTGTCCTCGGCGCAGTCAGTACGAGACACAAGATCGCCGACATAATATTCTTCTGCAGCATACTGAGCGGACCATTAAGGAGTCCGTTCCTCTACGGCTTAACGTCAATACCAGCCCGGTTTCTCTCAAGGGGCAAGACAGCTTTTGATCATGAGTAAAATCGGAGTTAATGTTGAGTAACTCTGAGCCGCTCTGAGTAACTCGCGTTGATCAACATCAAGTACACATAGCAACCTGATTTTTGTGTTGCAAAATTTCATCATCGGTGGGCTGAAACCGATTGACATATATTTTCTGCAATAATTTCATACGCAACTAGTGATGCTGGACTTGCTGGATTGTATAATTCTGTCCGGTGTTACAGAATGCACGGATTGTAAAGATGATTCAAGACGACCATCAGGCTTGATACCATCACTGATCGGATGGATATATTTGCAGAAAAAAATTGTAGCTGTTTTGAGATTGCGGCTTATGGCACCGTTTGTTTCTGCTTCTCCCAGTATTTAGCATTTTGCTGAATTTCCATGAGTAGCATGATGGCATCCACCAACAAGGATATCCAGCTGTTGAAAATGAAATTGCCTAATATTATTACAATTATTACAAACAATAGTTGCAATTTCCAAACCTACGACTGGATGCCTTCCTTCAAATAACAATTGAAGTGCGGAAAAAAATCGGTAGAACTGTTTCAAACACACAGTTGGTACTTGAACGGGTCGGTCTTCATCTCTTTTTGCCAGTGGTGGCGGGGGGGGACACCCCTCACCATCCCTCTCCAAAGGGGGAGTTTGGTAAAGAGAGATGAAAAAACCGATTTGTACCTTCCTAAAAAGTTGTCCTAGTTCGCTATTCTAATATCTATATACAATCTTCACACTGCCGTACTCTAACGGAACTATCAACTCTATGCTTTCATCTACTCCATCTATCGTATAAAAATTACCACTACAGTCTGTTATTTGAAATTAGCATCTTCAACTAAACTAATATTATTGTCCAAGCTAACAGGAAAAGTTTAACGCTGAACTCTCTTGGAATTCTTTTTGGAATTCACTGCGTTTAAGCTCAAGAGCGGATAGTGTCCTTATGCCAACATCGTCGGCTCATAAACTGCTATTCATCGCAAAAAAATTCATTTGGCTTCCTTCTTTTGGCAACTTTGATAAGTGGCATCCACAATCAGTAGGAACATCACCACGAAGCTTATATGCAAGAGGAATAGAAACGTCATGATGTCATTAAGAAAGGCTAAGATTGTCCTCCGGGTACAATCTGAGCTAGGCCTCGGTGCAATAGATCTATGAGCTATCTTTATCAACAAAAAGAGAAGTCTTATTAAGACTGCTTAAGATGGAAACAATGGCGTTGCGAATATCACTCAGAAAAACTACGACCATGGCCATTATTACCGGTGAAATTACAACTTATAACTCGCGATGAAGTGATTGCCATTTGATTTACACGGCCATCATTTCACAACAGCAGTCCCCGAGGAGAATCAAAACCTGTCTGAGCGATCACTTCAAGTTCCAGGTGTTCAAAAGGCTACTATCGATGAGATGTATGTCACTTTCAAACAACTGACAACCAACAATCCGTCCGAAGAGATTTCCAGGTCCACCTTCTATGGCTTATGGGATATCATCTGAGTGGAATCGCGTCCGCTTATGTTGCTCAATCGAACAGTAAAGTACAGGAAATCAAGAATGAAGTTATACAATTTTGTCAATTGGAGTATTTTATAAAGTTAAAAGCACAATTAGGTTAGAGTCACAATTAGCGATTAGCTGTAACGAATAGTACTCACTTATGACGATTACTCATTACAGCTAAAAGAGGAAATTGTGACCCTCTGAAAGCAAAATTGACTGGTTTCAATCTTTAGCTCCTCTTGTTGCATCTTACATATACAAATTATTATTAAAATATCTCATAGTTTCATAATTTCGAAAAGTAGTATTTTTTTTAGCTGTAACGAGTATGTTCAGGCCTGCTCTTATTATAACATCGACTCTGCTTAGACCAACATACATTGCATCCGTTATGGACCACCCACATTAGATCCGTTTGCGTTGCGTTGACGTAAACTTTACAATAAGATAATAGATTTAGCTGTCACTTTGCCGCAACGCGTCAGAGCCGGATCTACTGTGGGTGGCCCTTTAGTGATGCGTGCGGAAAATCTGAAAGATATACAATATTTTTAGCTGTCAGATCTACGCTACGTATATCAATAACGGATTAAATGAGCGTGGGCCTTCAGCAAGGCGGAAAATTGCAGGTGGTTTGGAACTCACGGTCCACTAGTGTTGGTAAGTTATTTTCCGTTAATGGCAGATTTGGACCTGTTTCATACGACCGGAAGCTGGTCACAAATGCGAAATTGATTTCCTACGCAAGTGATCAATCTTTGATGTGATTTTCGCGAATAAACACGAAGATGATTGATGATAGCAAAACATGCCATTTACAATCGACAAAGTTCACCAAAAAAAAAATCGAATTTTAAAACGAGTTGCTAGCACTCATACTGAAAAGTGTCACTTTTAGACACTGTTTTGAATAACATCATGGCCTACTTTTCATAACTAAAAGAAGTGTCGAAAAGTTATCACGATTTTTAAACACTCGTCGTAATTATCCAACTCGGTAAACTACGACTCGTGTTGAAAAAATCTTCTTTTTGCAACTTGTTGCATAAATAGCTATTTTTCCCTGGGTGCTGAAAAGTAGTACTTTTCGACACTGTTATTTTAGCTAGGAAAAGTAGGCCATTATGTTATTCAAACCAAATTTGCAGTTACGCTCTTCATGGGCATGGACAAAGCCCCTTTTTCGTTACTGTAATCCTCAATGATCAGTATGTCCAATCGGAAAATGCTACACACATTATTTTGACCTTGCTAACTTGGTCAGTGCCAAGTGATATCATTTCCAACTAATAACTTTCGCAAACGTGTCACCGACCAACAGATGCCAAAATGCCTCACCATCGTAAATGCCTTATCACTGTCGATTGGGTGTCGAATCATCCACCATTGTGGTATCGGAAACATCATCAACCACCGCCTATTCCATTCCTCATTTCCCCGTCCTCCACATGCAAAGAAATCATTCCTCTGGCATATTTTTTATGATTAGCAAACTAACACCGATTTTTTCGTCCTTTTCATCCTGCTGCACCAACAGCGTGAGCGGAAGCAACGTAAGCTATACTCGGACGAGTGGGCCCTAGGCGACGATGACTACGAGGGAGCGCGTGGTTTCAGCGTTGCCGAGAAGCTGGAATCGCCCCGTTTTGCGCAGTCCGGGATGGTGCGCGAGATGAAAGGCAGTGATCTCTCCGTCGGGTAAGGCAAACACGTACCAACTATTTATTCCTTTTTGCTACATATGCTACATACCTACTCGTAAATCTATGCTGTCGGCAACGAACAACCGGGGCAAATCGGTTCGGTTATAGGAGTTCCACGGATACGCTCGCCACTTTGGTACATCCACCATATCCTACCTATAGGGAAGTAGAGATAAGAGTAGAGTGTGGCTTTTTTGGCTAGACCACTGATGAGCCACATTGGCAAACCTTACATTGATGTTCGATTAGTAGTTAGAAGCAGTTACTGAAGTCTGTTTTAGAGGTAGAGGTGAAAGAAATGGATTTATAACAGTATGCAAATAAATTCAATTAAACAAATTTATGTTCGTTTCGTAGTGCAACAAAATAGCTACTTTTGAAATGTATTGCTGAAGGTGAAAAACGGCCGTTTTTTGACTGCATTCTCCTCCCAAAGCTAATGTTTTCGATTCGACAGATGAAAGCAAAATGAAGTGAGAAAAAATGTGTGGGAAAATGGTAAGAGCAACACAACAAAAATGCTAGTCTTTGAAAAGTGCAGTGCAAGCTTGAGAATTCACTCTCTTCGAGAGTGTGAATAGAAACAGCAGAAATCGACTCGCAAAAAAGATCGTGTAAATGGTGCACAACTGAAGTATCACGTCCACGTCATTGGAGCTAGCAATTAGCCGCAAGCGTAAAGCGACCGGTTGAAGGATTGGACAATTTGCCGAATTCCCTGGGGGACCAGTGCTTGTCATACAATACCGCCCATTTTACGTTGCTCATCATAAACAAATAGGGGAAATGGCTCTAATGTTGGCCTATGGATCTAAGATTGAGCCCATCGCTAAAAATCTGCTATTAATCAATTTTATCTAGATGAACGCGTCATTGGGACGGTACTAATGGATATTTTTGGTTTCTATTGAAAATTTAGTCGATTGCTGAAATTATGTATGGGCCCAAATTAGGGACATTTAGGCCGACATTACATTAATTTCCCCTATGTGATGGATTTACATTTTTCCGATTTTTTTAAAGAAAGCATTGAATTTTTCTCTTATAAACAACTAGAGGATGACATGTTGCAGGATAGAGCTAGCTGTGATATTTCACCATTGGTCGGGTGGCCAATAGACCTAAAACGGCCTTAAGGTAGAATGAAATATCCAAAATATCCACCAAAATAATATTGATCAGATTTTATGTTCTGTGATGCGGTGTAAAAACTACAAATTTTGCGACCGAAAATTAAGTCTGTTCCCGTACTAGCTTTTATGCTTTTACTGTAGGTTGCTACAGCTTACTATAAGTTGCTGTAAGAAAATAATGTAGCGCAGCAAGTACGGAAACATGCTTTTTGCTGTACAGAATCTTACAAGTATAGGAACAGACTTATTGTTTGCTTAATTTGGCCATATTAAAAAAAAACTCAAACGCTTCGTAACTTACAGCAAAAATCAAAACAAACCGATTTCGACAGTAAGGTGTTGGCTGCTTCAAAACAAATTTGATCATACTTTGTCCCACCGACGAGTTTTCAGGTTCAAAAATTAATTTATTTATATGTTGGCGTTATTAATTATAAAAATGAAACTACCTGTGATCTTGAAATTCTTACGTAGGGTACTTAAGGGGGTTAGGGGGTTCTCTACGAAATTCTCCGAATTTAGCACAAATTTCATGAATGTCGAAGATGTCCTCTGAACATTTCTAATGAGATTAAAGAAACATCAAATCAATTCGCTAAATTTCTATAACGCTGTAACGTTGAATACCACCCTAACAACTGACAGCATTCGAGCAGTACCATCTCTCCGTCAAAGCGAAAACTACGAGCGTAAGAAACGCACGATAAGTTTTGGCTCCACGATACGTTCAGTAATTTCAAGCTGAACATTGCATTAGGTCCTAAGTCACATTGACAGATTCTCTTCGTCGACTTTCTCTTTCGTTAATAGCTTGAGTACATAACTGCAGCAACTCTTATTGATAAAAATCATGAAAATGTGGGAGATCTCAGTGGGTAGAAGCAAGAAGAAAACAGCGATTGATGCTAGATCACGCCACATTTGACCACCAAAGGGTTTGATCTCTTTAGTGGAGATTGCTGAAGCCTTCGGATTAGGAAGAAGCAAAAACAAAACAAAAATGATAGAAACTGTGCTTGACTTGTGTCCAAGAACGCTAGAATAGTGAAATATTCTTAGAAAAGATCCAGAACAACATGTGAAAAGGGCATACAAGCTTTTTGTAAACAAAACTTCTTAAGCCCTTTTTTCGCCACCCATATGACACCAACGGAAACTTTTAACATCACCGTGTAGGGGACACTTTCCCCTTCCCGATGATATTGCTGGTTTGCGTGGGCGACACTCGGTTGGCGAGAAGGGCCTACAAAGGTTTGTTTACAAAAACTTGTATGCCCTTTTCACATGTGGCTCTTGAGATAAATTAAACTACTTTGAGTGGGAGTAAAAACTCCAAGAAAGTACCGGTTAGCTTGTGGAGTGAACTGCCGAAAAATGTTTAAACCGGCGTCCCACAATGGTTTTGGCGATCCTCGAAAGCACACGGCATCGGCGTACATCGGCCGACCCCTAGTTGGGAAAACTCCTTTCACCATTTCCCAACTAAAGGCAATCTCCACCAGGGCGTCACAATATCAGCTTCAATCGACCAAATCGATGCGACGAAGAGACTGCTGGCTTTCTTTTTCTGTTAAAGTCGAACAGCTTCGCAGCATTCTAGAACCTCAGTCGGCGTGCACAAACAAATGTTCAATCGCTTGTCTCTCTTTCTCCCGTCGCACCATTGGTCTTCCTTTCAAGCTTCGGTGAAACGGATGAGCGAAAGAGCGCTCGACTTTGATAGTTTTCTCTTTCATGAAACACATCAACAGAGGTTTCATGACGTATATGACGGAAAATGAAATAACACATTTAAAGCATTTCTCACGTGAAAACACGTGAAGATTACACGTAATATTTTTAATTTATCTTCCATCCATATATTTATCTAAAAAAAATGATCAAAAACGGGACATAACGCATTTTAAACAAATTGAAATATCGGTGATAGAGTGTTCGTGAAAGGGGATTGAAAGCCATAATGAGGTTCGTTTAACTAGAAAATCGACGTTAGTTACATTGAAAGCGATGAGCAAAGCAACGACGAGAAGTTCCACAGCCACGCTTAGAAGGAAACGCTTTCCTTCTAAGCGTGCTTCTTTTTCACTATCATTTCTAGCTGATAGTCTAGCTAGGCGTTATAGAAATGAAGCGTCGAACACGTATGTATGAGAGAAAAAAAACACGAGTTCATTTTAGAGCTTCGAAAATGTAGAGCCCTGATCTCCACACCGGAAACTGGGTCAAATCGGTCGGTTACCTTCACGTTACGCTGTACCACATGTGTAAGACGCCCTCTTGCGTCGTTGGACTCAATACCGGTGTCACGAATCACGGTATCCCCTAGTCGACAAAGCAACGCCACCTGCGGACGGCCACCGGAACCAAGCCGGCCGTTCAACAACCTATCAGAACCGAGGAACTGCGGAATATTCAGGTCAGATCGAAACCTTGTACCCCTGTAGAATAAGAAATTTATTACGCTAGGGCAAATTCAGGTCCCGGGACAAAAATAGGAGCTAGAGATGTTGTTCAGAATATATGCTGTAGCCCTAAAACCCTAAATGGGTTGACTAGTTCACTCCACGGTATACGAAATCTCCTTTGAAGTGATTGGGTTTGTACATTAGTCGTTTTCCCTTTGTTACATTATTGAATAGTGAGCTATTTTCACCTTGGTCGAGCCTTCGTAAGAATCCTGCTTTTCTGGTTTTTAGTTGGGATTGGAAGTCAAATGAAGTGAAGTGTTTGAGTCCGGAAACTTGACCTGCTATGTTAAAAGAGTCTCTGGCCGGACTAGAACTTACGTTCGCAGTCTTCCTTGTTGGGAAGTGGTGGTTAAGCTGCGAACGCAGAAGCAAAATAGTTCGTTACAAAGTTCGCTAATTTTTCACAATATTTGATAGGTTCTACAAATTTTTCTGAACTTCTACAAAATTATCTGAAGTGTCATGTTCAGTTGAATTTCAGTGAAGTTCAATGAAGTTAAATGAACTGCTACAAAGTTTGCAGTGCTTTTATAAACTTTGTTGTATTTTTTAATTTGCTACACTTCTAGAATGTTTTCAGAACTTCAACGCAGTTCATTGAATGTGTACGAAGTTTTAAAAAGTTCTACGATGCTTCTTGAAGGTCTATGAAGTCTTGGTTGATTGGTTGTCTCTATTAAGAAGATTTTCAGCCAGACGCTGGGTCATCTCCGGGAACCCCTGAAGGGGTTTCCCCAAATTACAGAATTGAAAAATTGAAAAAAAAGTGTCCGGAGGGGACACTTCTGAAAGATGGGGGAGGCTCCAGAAGGGAGTCCTTTTAATATGGAGTACTTATGTGATACGGAGTTATATCTAAGGTACGGTTATTGTCTTTTGATGCTGACTCATTTTACGTTGGGAGATGGAGGGTTTCCTGGGATGGCTGGTGGAGAGGAAGTCCTTGTTCTTAGCTGTGGTCGTGGTTGTTGAAAGTGTTCGGGCTGGTCGGGGTGTGGTGTACAGGTAGTTGTCCTCATGGTCGGAGTTGAGGGTATGACAGCATGCATCATTGAGGGGTCCGCTTTCGGAGGTAATGTCACGGTCGGCTGTAGTAATATTCGAGAGAACAAGCCTGCCTCGCGGAGGAAAGCCACTAGTGCCGCTGAGCGGCAAGGATCTTCACTGAGGGCGTCTTGGATGCTGCCGGGGATCTCGAACAGGTTTCTAGCTCCTTGGTATTGCGGGCAGTGGCATATAAAGTGTTCCACCAAATGGTGGATCTGGCACAATGGACATTCGCCATTTCCCGTTATGTTGTGTGAGATACGGGTGTGTCCTGACCTAAGCCTGGAGATCACCACTTGAGAGCAGTGGTCAGGTAGGTCATCCCAGCGACGTGTCTCATCTTTAATTTTACGGGTAAAAAGATTTCGTGAGTCCAGCCAGACTCCCATGTAATTTTGGAAAGCCAGGTTTTCAGATCCGGGCCTGGAACTTTTCTAGTTAATTTGCTCATTTGTCGACTTGAAGATGCGAGGTGGTCGGCATCGACGTTACCCTGGATCCCACAGTGACCGGGTATCCAGGAGACGGTGGTGTAGCACACCGGATGATGGCTTGGATCCACGGGTGTGTGGGGTACTCGGTTTCAAGGGCGGCTACCACGCTCGCGGAATCCGCGAACAGAACGATGGGTTTGCTAGACGGTGTGGTGATGGCGACGTAGGCGGCGGCTGCCTCGGCGGAGAAAATGTTACATTGGTCAGGGAGACGGTGGCACACACTTACATCGGGGCCGGATACCCCAATTCCAGCTCTCCCTTGTGCAATCGAGCCGTCGGAATAGCGGATCGTATGGTTGTTGTAGCGACGGTATATTAGGTCCCTGTGTACTTGGGTAACGGCGAGAGGGTTAGAGCCTGCCTTAAAGGTATGCTTGATAGTTGGGTCTATGGAGATTTTGGGCAGGTTCCAACGCCTGGCTCCAACCCAGTGGACCGTGGACACTAGGGGGAGCGCCTAGTCGGCAGTCCTAGCGAGGAGCTGGTTTGTTTCCTCTAGGAGGAACACTCCGTCGCTCGATGCAGTAGTTTTTTTTCTATGAAGCTGACGGCTCGCCGGCAGATGGTGAGGGCGATGAGGCGGTCGAAAGGAAGGACTCCTCCCTCGACACATGCTGCCGAACCCGGAGTTGACGGGAGTAGACCGGAGGTAGTTCGGATGACCCTTTGATACACAGGAGTGAGCTATGAAGTCTTTGAATTGGTATCCTCATATAAGATTGATCCGCCTGTTGCTGTAGTCGCGGCATCGACTGTGGCGCGTTCTGTAGATGTTGCTGTTGCTGAGTCAGTATCGGTTGTATGTTAATGTGCTGTTCATAAACAAATCTGCGCTGCCGCTAGTTTTGTGCTACCTCGTTCGGTCTGGAACTCTTCCGTTCGAAGTTCATCTTCAGGGTGTTCACTTGCCCAATGAGCTTGTACTGACAATTGTCTTCCTCAGTGTTTGCTGAGGCTCCATGCCGAGGATCGGATTGCTGCAAGCTCCAGTCTTTATCCATGTCTCCTTCCTCCTCCACTGCATGCACCCTATTGAAACGATGCGGATGTTGCTGAGACATTGTTGCAGGCCTATTTCTGGATGCCGGTGTGGCAAAGTTCGGTTCCAGTAGTGCACTGTGTGGAATGGAAATCCACCGTTGCCTATTCAGGACCATTCTTGTCTCATCGTAGCTGGTACAAATCTCCACCATCTCTTGCAACGATCGTGGTCTTGCTGCTGTTACGATTGCTGCATAGCGCAAAGCGCTGAAATGTCTCGGTAATACTTCGCAAAAGACTCGCTGGCTCCTTGGAAACGTAAAATGTGTTCCAGGCAAAGAATTTGGGAGTATCCCCTTTGCATAAACTCTTTGCCGATCTCCCGCTTGAAAGCGGCCCATGACGGTAACAAGTGTTGTGACGTTGCGCGGGTATTCCATTCGAATGAGTCTTCCTGAAACAAATGCTTGATAGAAATCAGCAGTGTCCTAGCGCTCATTCCCTCCGATCTGGCATCTCGACGCGATCCAAAAACACGTTGAGCGAAGTGGTGTCGTTCTCTCCTCGAAGCTGAATGGCGAATTATGCACCGCTTTCAGCATTCTTGTTTCATCATCCCGTCAAGAGGCCTCTCTTGGCAAAGCAGACGATCCAGTAGATCAACCCGAATCCTGTGGTACTCTTCCCTAGCTGGTGCGTTCTAGCTATCCTATTCTATCCCTAGCTAGCTTCTCTGGCTCGTGTTTCTCGTGCTTCGGCTTCCCTTTCTCGCGTTTCTCTTACGTCTGCTTCCTTATTCGCGCTTCTCTTGCGTCTGCTTCCCTGGCTCGTGTTTCTCTTACTTCTGGCTCGCTCCTCCCTGCTTCGTGCTTCACTAGACACGTACTCGTGAACGTAGTGCGGTGGTGGTGGTGACTCATGCCGATGTTCCGGTGATAATCGTCGGTCACTCCTAATACTGTGACGATCTTCCTGCGAGTTCGATAATAATAATCCTCGACCCCGACCTCCTGGGAATGAAAGCAGTCGTGGCATCGATGACGCTGACGGTAGTGTTTCCTCCTGCGCTTATGCGTACTCCACTGAATTCGCTGAAATGTTGCTTCCTCAAGCCGGTCCTTGTTCACGTTCAACGATCCGCCGCCCCGTTCCGGTTGTGCTCTACTGCTGGTTCACAGTCACTTCACTTCGTTGCACACCGTTCACCGAATATAGTAACACACTGAAAACTTTGTTGAACAACACATTCATGTGTCGTTTGAATTATCGGTTGCTTTCGTAAGCAAGTGTAGTTATTCGACTTGCGTTTGACAGCCTTCAAACTCATTTTATGCTCAGAACTTGTATGCATATTATCTCTTAAGGACTCTTCTTGTATGAGTGCCTTAAGACGAAGCACCTTGCCCAGGTGTGTAGGAGGACCTAAGCTGACTACATGACGTAGAGCTAAAGGAGGCTCCGTAAGATGCTGCATATCAATAGTAGGGTTTTTACCAGTTGATAAGGTTCACACCGGTCTACGCCGCCGCCGCCAAAATATTGATCGGCGCACAGGTCCAATTTCAACCCTGTCGGGAATTTTTTAGACAAAGACTGGAAAATCAGGGAATATCAGTGAATTTATTTTTCATCATTGAGACGATTCCATGATGTAGTTACAATGCTGGTTGGAAAAAGCAAACCATCATCAAGATTGCATTGAACCTGTTGATTTTGGCAACCAAATAAATTAGTTAATGAACTAGCTGACCCATCTGGCCCCACCTTACCCTATAGATTTTTTTTCACAGCACGCATCTTAAGAAGCTTCAAAGTCTCGTGAAGACTACTGACTTGTATGACAGGGTGACCAGTAAAACGGGAAATCCAGGAATATGCGGGGAACTCGAAGTCATCGGGGAAAAACCGGAAATTCCTATGACAAATCGGAATTTTTCTGAAAAAAATCATTAACAAATTTTAAGAATCTTGGACTAGATTTTTTTACGAAGGAATTTTGAAAATATTTTAGAATGAATGTCAGGGTTAATACCAAGGTACTTAAGAGAAAATTAAAGGGAGTTTTGAACAAATTCCTAGAGATTCTAGGCTATAACTCCTAGTGTGAGTTCAGAGTAGAATTTTTAGGTAGCTCTGTGAAAAATTCCAAGTCGATTGTGAAGAGGATCATGACATTCTGAGAATAATTTTAAGGGAATGAGGATCACGAACAATTCCAAGGGCATCACGAAACGAATTTCAACAAAATTTTAAGGAAATTTCTAAGCAAAATTTAAGAAGAACTTAGAGGAAAGCTCCAAGATAATTCTGAACAATATATCAAGACAATTCTGAGGTGAATTCAAGCGAAGAATTATGGAAGGAAGCTTCAAAGAAAATCTAAGGATGAATTCCATGCTTTTTTGGATTGATCTGCAGATAATTTCTAAACTGTTATAAATACATTTCTTAGACAAATTTTGAAGAATTCGAACGCAGAACCAAATTCGACCCACGAAAAATGATGCTGTTTTAGTAATGACCCATTTAACCTAGTGATGTATAACGGACAATCGGGAAATTTTCCAAAATACCGGGAAAAATGGGAAATTGCTAATCGGAATTTACTGGTCACCATGGCATGAGAAATTTGAGAGGTTTCACTTTGTCGCTAGGGTGGTTCAAAGATAGGATGGTCACAAATACTAAAACCTTAATATCTTCGTTATAAGCAAGAAATGAGGCATAGTGTAGAACATTTTTTTTGCATGGTTTGAGGTCCTCCATCACCCTGTTTCGGATTGACCATGAGCGCACAAGTCACTCTGTATAATGGATCGAGACAATATCGTTATCACGAGTGGTTTCTTTTTGAATAAATTCAAGCTGAACATTGCATTAGTTCCTAAGTAACATTGATCGATTCTCTTTGGTTGATAACTTGAGCATGTAACCGTTTCTTGTTGTGTTTGTTGTATTAGATGCTAGATAAAAGCTTCTTTTATCGATCTGTGTGCTGAAAATATCTGGGAATCTGAGAAAAGCGGGAAACTGTCCATCCCATAGTATGCATGCACTGAATAAATATTTGGGAGAATCCGAAGGACCTAAGCAGCAAATGTCCGTTGGACGACATCCGAACCGATTTTATCGTCTTCATCCTCTGATCCAAAACAACATTCACCAAATCTAATAACTCCTCTTCAAATTCTCTCTTCATTGCAGCTTCCTCCAGCAGTACGGTTTCAACATACCGCTGCTGTTCAAGGAGAAAACCGGCCTCGGACTGCAAGTGCCATCACCCAACTTCACCATCAACGACGTTCGGATGTGCGTCGGATCGCGCCGCGTTCTGGACGTGATGGACGTCAATACGCAGAAGAACGTGGAAATGACCATGAAAGAGTGGGAAAAGTATTACGAAGACCAAACCAAGAAGAAACTGCTGAATGTGATTTCGCTGGAGTTCTCGCATACAAAGCTGGAAAATTACGTGCAAAGTCCGCACATTGTGCGTCAGATCGACTGGGTCGATGTGGTGTGGCCGAAGCAGCTGAAGGAGTCGCAGGTTGAAGCGACCAATGTGCTGAACGAAATGATGTACCCCAAAGTGCAAAAGTATTGTCTGATGTCGGTGAAGAATTGCTACACGGATTTCCACGTGGATTTCGGTGGGACGTCAGTGTGGTATCATATTCTGAAAGGAAGTAAAGTGTTTTGGTTGATCCCACCGACGGAGAAGAACTTACAGTTGTACGAAAAGTGGGTCCTGTCCGGTAAGCAATCGGATGTGTTTTTCGGTGATACGGTGGAAAAGTGCGCGAGGGTGTACCTGACGGCAGGTAATACGTTCTTCATTCCGACCGGGTGGATTCATGCCGTTTATACGCCGACAGATTCGCTAGTATTCGGAGGAAACTTTCTCCACTCATTCGGGATCGTGAAGCAGCTGAAGATTGCCCAAGTCGAGGACAACACGAAGGTACCGCAAAAGTTCCGGTATCCATTCTTCACGGAGATGCTTTGGTATGTGTTGGCCAAGTATGTCTACACCCTGCTGGGGCACTCTCATCTGGAAGGAGAACCAGGCCGGGAACCGGAACTGGTCGGGAAAATACATGTCCATTTAACCCACTACGAACTGTTTGGACTGAAGGAAATCGTCATGTATTTGTACGATCTACCACCGCAGAAGAAAAACGTACCGGATCTCATCAAAGACCCGGTGGCTCTCATCAAAGACGTAAGGACATTGGTCGAACGCCACTGCAAAGACAATCCTGAACAGGCAATTACTGGAATACCGGTGCTGCATCCGGATCTTAATAAGAGTAATAATTCGTACCTGCGGGAGCGGTACGAATACTATGCTGGCGAGGGAGGTATGAAGACTCCGATTTCCCACGAGGAAGAAGGCGAAGGTTCTCAGCCCAGTCAGGAGGAGAATACGCAGGATATGGTAACGACAGCACAACCTCACCCAGAAGAGCACCTGGCTTCACCGATGGAGAGTTCTTCCTCCGGTCAACATGTGCCAGTCGGACCGGATGAGCACGCCAACAGCAATGGAACGTTAATGGCCGCACCGTCCAATCAACAGCAACACGATGATGATCGTAATTTCGTGTCACCCCAGCCAACCCGCCCGGGAGGCGGAGCAATTCGCGGTCCGTACAAAAAGAACAGTGGTCACGCCAGCAGTGGCGGTCGATCCAGTGCGGAAAAACGTGATGGCAACGGACCACGGCGGAGGCGAACTCGGTGCAAAAACTGTGAAGCCTGTCAACGGTCGGATTGCGGCGAGTGTAGTTTCTGTTTGGATATGGTGAAGTTTGGAGGCCCAGGAAGAGCGAAACAGACCTGCATGATGCGCCAGTGTCTCCAACCGATGCTACCGGTGACGGCCCAATGCATCCACTGTCATCTGGACGGTTGGAGGCAAGCGCCGATAACGGCACCGGCACAAGCAAAACTACAGGCACAAATGCAGGAAGGCCCATCGTCGCTGATGGAGTGTTCAGTTTGCTACGAAATTACCCATCCGGACTGCGCCCAGCGCTTGGCCCCGGAGATTAACGGAATCGTGAATGAGGATCTGCCGAACAGCTGGGAGTGTCCCAGTTGCTGCAAGTCGGGAAAGAATACCGACTATCGGGTGAGTTGATTCGTGGTCAGTGTGATGTAGGTATTGGAATTTAACCTTTTGATTTCGTTTTAGCCGCGTCACTTCCGAGCGCGTCAGAAGTCTTCGGAGATCCGTCGAATGTCCGTCAGCAGTGACGCTTCGTCGGTCCACAATGCTGACATCGGACGGATAGGTGGTACATCGGTGATTCAGCAAACTGTGAGTAGTAACGTCACCGGCACTTCGGTGGGTGATATCCCAGTTGGTCCGCCGGTTGTTCCCCGATTCCAAAATGACATGCTGTACGATTTCGCGGTTTCTGGAAACGCGGTAATTGTCGGTGGCAATGGAGGAAACATTCTGTTGGAGCGAAAACCGAAAATTAAGGACGAGGATGTGTCCAGTGGATCGGAACAGGATGGTCAGAAAATGGGCATGGGTGGCATTTTGATGCCGGCGAGCGCTCCGGTCAAAATGGAGATCAAGGAAGAACCGATGGAAGCAGGTCACAGTAGTGGTGTGACGTTGAAGCGGGACGGCGAGGGATCAACGGGTGGAGCACATCCGGTCGGTGCAATGGTAATGACGAAACGGCGGAAGAGCGATGACGGGAACAGTATGTGTAGTAGCGTGCAGGATTCCGTGGACATAAGTGAACACAATCACAGTATACCGAGGAAGAAATCATCCTTGAGGACACAGCTGGCCCATCAAATTCATAGTTCGTCGACAAAGACTATGAAGAAGCCACTGTATCCGGTGCGACCGGCACATGTCCACACGCCCGTTCTGTCGCAACCGGGCAACTACGCACTGGATCCGACTTGCCTGTTGGCAGTATTCCGTTATTTGCCACCGGAAACGCTGGTGACGTGTTCGTTGGTGTGCAAAACCTGGTCCAACATCTCGGTGGACCCAGCACTGTGGAAACGTATGAACTGTGCTGAGTACAAACTTACTGCTAGTCTACTTACGGCCATTGTGCGCCGTCAACCTGAACACTTGATCATGGATTGGATTAGTTTAGGAAAGCGACAGGTTACCTGGCTTATTTCCAGAATCCCCGGTCTGAAGCATTTATCCCTCCAGGGAATACCTATTCAGGCGGTACTTGGCTTGCATACCTGCATGTGTCCTCCATTGCAGATTCTCGATCTCAGCTTCGTAGCCGGACTCAATGATTCTGCCATCCGGGAGATTTTATCCCCACCGAAGGACTCCCGTCCAGGTCTAGCCGATTCCAAGTCAAGGCTGCGCAATCTTAAAGTGCTCAAACTGGCCGGTACGGACATTTCCGACGTTGCAGTACGTTACATCACCCAAGGTCTACCCAGTCTCACGCATCTGGATCTGTCCTCCTGTCAGAGGATAACCGATGCCGGAATATACCAAATCGGCACTGCTCCAGCATCGGTGAAAACGCTGATCGAGCTGGATCTCAGCTGTTGTAAACTTATTACGGAAAATTCCCTCGGTTATCTGACCAAGTGTGACGCCCTGACGCGACTCGATCTGAGTCACGTGCCCCAAGTGACGACCCAAGCGGTCATTAAGTTTGCATCGACTTCGAAGAACGAGCTCCAGCTGCACGACATCAAGCTGGTGGACAAACGGAAAACGTCTCAGTAGAAGATGAGGTGGACGATGACAACCGTTAAAGAAAATACGCTTCTTACCGCGCTCGCTGCCATCATGTTTAGAATTTAGTTGAGAGTTTGTGGAACCGCAAGCTGCAATCACTCCTACAGCCTAACTCGCAGGTACAATAACAATGATATATAGTGAGATACGCGAACAAAAGAAGCGTGGATGTACCTACATGGTGATTGTTGGCCGTGGATCAAGAGTTTTGGCGAGGACCCTGTGAACTAGTGATGATTTCCCTCACAATTTTTCTCTCAATCACAATTATTGTGGATTGTATTAACGATTAAGGATACAAAGTTTAGAACTTAGAATAGTGTGAACGCAATATATGAACCGTATGTGTAGTTGTGTGTCCGCGTGTTGTATGGAAGAGAGAACAGTTTTTCTGTTTGTTTTTTTTTTAGAACATAAGGTTTACGCCAGCGGCGTAGTGGAGGTGTGTTTGAAAATTTTGGAAAGTATTATCAAATATATAAATATATTGATTCGAGCTTTACAGCTGAATTTATCAGATCTTCACTCGCCTCTGGTCTACACACAAACCGAAACCAAAGACTACGTTTTAAGTTGATCGAGAGTTTAGTTTCCTCGTGTCGATTCTAGGGATTTATGTTTTGTTTGCTGTAACGACGTGTGTAGCAATAATTAAGGATTCGTTTAATTTTGCTTTGACGTTTAAGGTTTAAGTGAAAGATTTCTGTTTTTCCGCGAAAAACAAACACTTATAATAGTAGTATTCGAGCATTGATGCTAGAAGTGTAGCAGCAGCTTTTGAAGCACAACAAGAGAGTATGTGCGTGCGTGTTAATGATGCATCGTAGTAGAGCAAACCCGTGGTACTTATGGTGTAAGATAAATGCGTTTCGGCCAACCCTTCAAGAAATGATACCTTCTCTGCTAATCCTTTAAGAAGAGTTGTCGTAAATCTATTTATATCCGTCGATCATTTTATGTGTCCTCTTTTCCTTGCTTTCCTTCTCTATGTCTGATCTAGAAAACAGTCTTAGTAGCGATTGTCGTTTGTTCTTCGTGATTGATTGTGATGATTGGTTATTATAGGTATCCTTATACGCGCATAGAACCCGCTCAGTTACACGTTGTCTAGAGGAGGACTTTATTCTATTGGAACATACATATATTAGTGAGAATCGCGTAGGAATGCTTCAGTACGTTAGGTTATGATTAGGTTTACTCGTTGCGATGAAAGGAGCCATTTTTACAAATACAAAACATTACTTGTGACGAATCTATGCTAGACTTTCTAAAGTGTAGCACACGTATTGTGACAGTGAGAACTTCCCGCGTTTATACAGAATATTTAGTAGAAGAGAAACCTTATGGTGAATGCACAGAAAACACAAACACACACATATTACAATACCTATTCCTTTTAGGTAAAAGAAAACCGATTAGAGAATAGTTTAGCCCCAAGTAGAGAATCACAAAACGATGGAACTAAGCATTATGGAACATATGGAAAGGAAAACATTCTGTGTAGTGTGTAGCGTAATCCCTGGAGACACCTACCTATACTATTTGTAAATAAATTGAGAGAATAATAGCCGTTCTAGTTTACTGACCTTCCCATCTCTCGCCAACCAGGTGGAGTCTATAGAGAAATCCTTTGCCCTTCCATTGACACTAAAATGATGACAACAGGATCGCCAAGATGGCTCGTCGCTACTTCGTAAGTATGAAGATCATACCCAAGAGTTTATATAGGTGGCTTATCGTTTCATATGTATGTTTTGCCCAAAATCCGAAAGCTGCTTGTTTTGAATCGATGCGTCAAAATGTTCGTCACTGTGAAGGAGTCGAAAACCAAAGGAGTACATGTTTTAGAAAGCGAACAGCCAATGATTTCAACGGAATAGCCTGTTTTCTATCTGGTAAGTAATTCTTTATTTTATCGGAAAACCACAGACAAACATTCAAGCTCGAGCAAAATTTCTGTGTTAATATTCAAACCAATATACATACGTTAGAACACTAGCGCCGCCTAGCAGCTTGCTGCTATTTTACGTGTGACAGTCAATATATACTGATTAAGTTTAAAAAAAACAGCAGACTTTAACTCCTAAGCGGCCGAACCATGCTCATCAACTCTGTCGAAATATTGACCCGATTGACCTAAATCGAATACTGGAAAAGCTCGATGTAGCATGAAGGATTCTGTACCCGAAGATCTTATGTGCAATGTATTGTAACGCTCCTTAGCATTCAGTAGTTCAGTAGGGTCAGGTGGGGCAAAAGTCATAGGCGAAGCCAGGGGGACAGTCCCCCCTCAACTCTCTGCGACTGATTTTTTTTAGATTTCAGTGCCAAGTGGTGTTGAGCACTTGGCACCAGGCATGGAAAATCATTTGCATTCATTTCATGCATTCATTTACATTCATTTGCCTCTAAATTTTTTCATCAACAGCATTCCGCAAAATGAAGTAGGGTATTCGATCTAATTTCCGTCCTACTAAGCACAACCCGCACTTTATCTCTCTTTTCTGAACGAGTATAAACAAAAAATGGAACATTTCTGTCAAAGATGACTTCTAAATTTATCCACCTTTCCATACGTACCGCTGGATTTGATAAAGAGCCACACATTGTTAAAATATTGTATAAAATCTAATACTGCTTCTTGATTCTAAATTCGTTCTACGAGTTTCAATTCCGTCCTAACGCATTGAAACGCCATTAGATTTTCTTCGTCCTACGCATAAACGTAGAAAAGGGAGATTCGCTAGGGGCGCTTTTTTTGTTTTGAGAACAATGAGCGTAAATATTCATACAATGCACTCCAATAGGATTTATGTTGTAGCTAATGAACTAACGTATCGGAACAAACCTATTATGGATTTGTGCACGGTGAAATCATTGATATTATTGATCTTTTCTGATCGATAGAACGGAAATGGGCGATTACGACGACGTAGCGCTCTACCCTATAGAGGTTTTGTAGGTTTTGTTATTAGCTACAACTTTTGGTATTAACTCAAATCTGTATCTCTTATGCATCACGAACTACAGCGGGCAGAACTTGTTACTGTTTTTCAGTGAATGTAAAATACATTCACTGAAAAACAGTAGTGGTTTCTGTTTGCTCTGGTTCGTCATGCATAAGAGATACGAATTTGACTTTTTAACAAAAGTTGTGGCTAATAACAAAACCTACAAAAGTTCTATACATCAGTTTGCGGAAAAAGTCAGAGGCAAATGAATGTAAATGAATGTACGAAATGAATGCAAATGATTTTCCATGCCTGCTTGGCACTGATGAAGTAGTAGACGAAATAAGCGTATTTGTCAAAAGATAAGCAATTATAACGGAATTAAAAGGAAATAAACCAACACACTCAAAGTTCTTTATTGCAAGGTTTTGATCCTTTTATAAGTCTTGGTTTAAAAAAAAAATATGTTCAAAATGCTCAAAATTTACCCGAAGCAGGAAAATTTAAAATTATATTAGGCTCCGAATTTTAAAAATCTGCCACTCTCTGGTGAAAATAAAATTCACATATCGAGCAAAACATGAGTTCGTAACCTTAAAAAATCTATTCTTTGGATCTTAATCTCTTGCAAGTTTTAGGTTAAACAATTTGTAGAACCAATTTATCGCTTTTCCACCCTGGTTAATTATTAATTATGGTTTTCTTCCTAATGTTCTTGAGCATGATTCCCGTCAACTTTATCAATAATTTGAATGAGATAACTTGAAACTCGTTACTAAGAAAATTCTTGGGAAAATTAAAAAAAAAATATGTTGTTTGAGATTTCTAGGGAACGGCGCCGGTGGTGTAGTGGTAAGCGTGATTACCTCTCACCCCAGCAGGTCTGGGTTCAATCCCAGTCAGCGCCGCCGGGATGTTCTGAGGCATAACATCTCTGATCACGCCTTCCTTCGGATGGGAAGTAAAGCCGTAAGTCCCCGGTTCATGAGTTGATGGGTCGATAGGTAGGGTCCAGGTGTGGGAGCTGCCTTCCTGGCACGTCGGTAGCATTGGTGCTCAGGTGCGGAAAACAAGATCGACGGAAAAAACAAAACCAAAGGAGATTTCTAGGGAAATTAAAAAGATGCGGAAGTGGAAAATCAGAGGATTGTAAGACTTAATTTTAATACTACTAGAAAAAAAAAACTTGAAACTGAGTTCAGTTTCGAACCCCTTCGGATACGGTTGTGTTTTAAGTTTGCTCTCTGTTTTGTGCGTGCGTTCGCTTTTGTAGTTTTCGGCTGCTTTTGCCTGATTAGCGCTGGCACTCTGCCTCCCGGACGGTTATACGTGTGTGATTGGTGGGTTTCTCGCTTTCTGGGAAGCTTTAGAATCGAGAAAGAAAACGTGATTCATCATGTTTGCAAGCATCAGAAGAGATCTCGTTTGTTTCTTTGTTTATCTGCGTTGTTTGTTTTGTTTCCTTCCATTGTGCTCCCGGTACAGAAATTGGAGAAATCGCGAGTGATAGTCTTTAATTTCAGTTTTGAATAGTTTTGTGTCCCGGGCGCGATAAATTGATTTGGAATATGGTTTGTGCTGATGTTTATTGTCGGGTCAACATCGGGTTCGGGTTTGGTAGAAGTCGGGTTGGCTTAGCTTTTTCGCCGGAATGTCGTCCAGAGCTCCGTTTATGTGGTTTGTCATGTTTGCAAGCATCAGAAGAGATGTTGCAATCTGCGTTGTTTAATTTTTTTTTCTCCCGAACCAGAAATTTGTGGCATCGCGAGGGATAATTTTTAATTTCAGTTTATTTACGCGCTGTTAGCTGCGTGAAAGAGCTCGGCACGGTCGGTGTTGATGTTGGTTCACTCGCAACTGTTTTTGCAAAAAAATAAGTGTTTCCAACCGAAATTGATACCGAAAGCACAGACAAACAGACATAACACTCGCAAGTTGTTCATCGAACAAGCATTTAACCACAGACAAACAGACGTATCTCTTTGAAGAACTTGTTCTTGAAAACATAGTATCTCAAAACATGAAACCTCAGTAACGACATCTCTCTGGCTTCTCGCGGAAAACAAGTTTGCTCGCTAACTCGTAAACAATATTGCATAAAAGTTCTATAGAATATATAGAAACGTCAAAGTGATCCGATGCCAGCGCTGCGGCGAGTAGTTCGCGGAACTGATAATATTCAAATCAACCGTTAAATGCATGAACGAAGATACACAATGAAGAGTTACGTCTGTTTGTCTGTGATTTAACAGTCAATTCAAAAGTATCATAGTTGGTAGTACCGCCACCTGTGGCGCGCATAGTCAATTCCCTTGCGTTTGACGTTTACACACTACCGCCATCTGTTCAGCGTACTACCCACCACAGTGTACTCAACAGATGGCGGTAATGTTTTAGCGACGATGTTTTACATTGAGAAACATTCAATGTGTTATGTCTGTTTGTCTGTGCCGAAAGTGTATCAAAAGTGCTTCTGTGTGGTGAAGTTCGTGCATTCCCGGTTGATTTTCAGTGGAAATTCCGTCTCACAAAATTGCTCACCGAGTTCCTTTTTTTTTGCCGTTCGAAGACGACGGGTTTGCTTTCACGAGAGTGACGTTTATTGGATCCGTTTCTTTGCACGAGTGTGTTTTTTTGTAATCAGCGATATGTAAGTGTGCTTGTGATTTTCATTGCCTACCAGGAGACCGGTTCACAGTGTTCGGATGTTACGCTTTCGGCGTGTAGTTGTTCTATCAAGAGTCTCGTCACCGTGTGCGAGTTTGAGCACGGTCCGGTTGGCAAATTAGCTGGGGAAAGTGCTGATAATGTGTCCGCCGCGAGTTTTGGTGGTGATTCAGTGGCCGACGTTGCCGTGAATCAGCGTGTTTACAGCTTGCAAAGTGCTCGTCTGCTGTCGGAGATTGTGAGCAAGCTGGGGGATGCCTTGCTGGATACGCCCAAGACTGGACGGGCGGTAGCTTGTGGCCATGAACGGCTCCTGGAGAAAGCACTAGACGCGAACCTCCTCCCAGATGACCATGGTAAAGCAGGAAGTATTACAAAAAAGGTAATTGCTATTAGATATTTTTGCAAACAGTGACAGATAGCAGACATGAAGCGCAGGTGGACGTGCCGGGCAAAGGTGTTGTATCCTAGACAAATGGTAAGTTAGAATTCGCTGTTGTCGTTTTCGTAGTCGCCGTAGGCAGTGCCGTTAGTATATTTAAAATTAACCATCTGAAACTTTATGAATTATCGCATATTTCTGCTGTTCATTACATACCAAGTGAAATTCGAGAACGTGATTTCATTTGAATAGCTTGTTTAACCAGGGCCTAAACAATCGTCACGTCGCTCATAGATTGTTATGATTGCCTGAACCATGCGTAAAGATCAAATCGAAACATTGAACATCGCGTGAAAGTGGAACTCAATGAAGGCCTAAGTACACTTTCGTAGGTTTTAGATTTAGGATTTGAAAAATCGTCGGTTGTAGTGGCTTGCTTACTGAGCAGAAAAACGCGGTCCCCGTTCCTTTCATATAAAAAATGTATGGGAAGATCGTTTGTTTATCGTATCGTATTTTGTAAAACTTTTCGTTGTCATCGGTGCCGGGTTAGAATAGTTATAACAA